TGTATTTATGAGGTAATGGTAGGGTGAAATAGTCCTCGGTTACTGGTTGAAAGATACCGAAGGGGTAAGCCAGCACCCGAATATGCTAGGCAATATGTGATTTATGAGTATATGATAGGGTATTATGTGGTAGTGGTAGGGGTGAAATAGTCCTCGATTACCGGTTGTAAGAAACAGAAGGGGTAGGCCAGCACCCAGATATGATAGGAAGTTACCGGTTGAAAGAGACCGAAGGGGTAGACCAGTACCCCGATACGCTAGGCAGATACCGGTTGAAACAGACCGAAGGGGAGACCAGCACCCAGATGGGGGAACTCACTAAGCTTCGTGCTTACGGTTTACAATTTTGGTTTCAGGTACATCTTGCTCGAGGGGAAAGGAGTCGGCATGACTGCAGCGCATCACACCACTATCTTCCGCACTATGTTGTTCTTGGGATTTGTACTTTGACATTATTATGACTTGTTTTGAGACATATGACTGATGGGTTTTTATGAAATGAGATAACTGGATGATGTTTTCAGTAATCTGTTTTATGAATTATTAAATTAAAAATGAAATTTTTGGTCTTGGATTTTAGGATGTTACATAACCACTACCCTAGGTCTCATGGTATGCAGATGACATATAACCCGCACATAAACAAAAAATATAATCCCGATATACACAAGACAATGCAATAAAATCATAAATAAAGGCTGATAGGAAAGTAAAAGATGTACAACTGCAACATTGGACGCTCGCGCCTCCACTATAAACATCTGGAAAGCCCTGCTCTTCGTTGCAGGCACCTCTGCTCAGCCCTGACGACCGTCGGTGATCCTCAGTGTAGCAGGGGCATGTGCCATCACCTGTCCCACTGCTACCAAACTCCGTCATTGGGCCTTCTTATGGCCCCGCTGACTACAATGGAAGCAGATCAAGTCCGATCCCTGGTTGGTGGTAGCTGTATAATCCCTGCTATAATGACTAACCCGATCGCACTTGAAGCAACCAGAATCACCACCGCTGCCACTCCTGTACGCTCCCTCATGTGTCCTGTCGCACTTGCCACAACGGCTACAGTCCTAATGACCTCTCGATCTAAAATCAGATGTGTTGGGCCTCTTTCCCGACCCTGCGGATGTCTGAACCTTATCTGGCTTCTTTTTCATGTCCGCCTCTAAGTCGATCTTCCTCTCCCTGGCTCGAGCGATCATGTCCTCCAGCATCTTGTAGTTGGACCAGCTCACAAACTGCCTGATGTCGCTACTCAGCATCTCGTGATATCGGGTCTTCTTCATCTCCTCGTCCGCTACATACTGCGGAACAAGAAGGGCCCTCTCCCTGAACTTGGCGGTGATCTCCGCCACTGTCTCCGTAGTTTGCTGGAGATGCTGGAACTCTCGTGCTAACTGCTACACCTCACTCACTGGTGCAAACTCGACCCTGAATCTGGCTGAGAAGTCACTCCTTGTCATTCCATCAATAGAGGCATCGTCTCCAATAGCATGTCCAACTTCCTACCACCAATCACATGCTCTGTCCTTCAGTAGACAGGAGGCAAGTTGGACCTTGTCCCCCTCTGGACACCGGCTCGTACAGAAGGTGTTGGCAACATCAGCCAACCACCTGCTGCTAGAAATAGGGTCCCGAGCCCCATGATAATCTGGAGCTCCACAATCTCGGAACTCCCTGAAAGTCAGTATGCGTTCCCCCATCATAGTCGCCATCTTGGTGCGGAAAGCACCCAACCTCTCATCAAGTATCTTCAAGATGCCCTCCTTGACCGTACCGAAGATCATAGGAGTCTGGTCTAATATAATGCGCGTGACCTCAGATGAAATGAACTCCCTCATCCGGTCATCGAGCTGCCCGGCTCCAGAGCCCGAGCCTGATCCCTTACCGACACCAAAATTGCCAACTGGCCTATCACGTAGCGTCACCATGCTGAAAACATACCATAACAACCATCAAAATACTCATCAACATCAAGGGATCACACACACACTACAAGTTCCCGGTCTCATCGCAACCTTCCTTGATTCGAGTACGGATCCTCTACTTCCAGTAATATGGGCCCATACTACCTTCCACATTTATCCGTACTTTCCTCAAGAACTGCCTTGACTCCACCAAGTCCCTTTCACTACTACTTCTCTCTGCACTAAACTCATCCTAGGCTTGCCCTAGGGTAATCACCAACCGACTCTCCGCCATCAGCTCCATAAGAAGTCCCTGCTATCTTCCCCTAACTAGCTCGCAAATACCATTACATATCACTAAGACCAGATAATTCTTCGAATGAGAGGTCCTACCCTACAACGGTTGGACTCAGACAAGAGCTGCGAAATAAGGCTAGACCTAACCTCCTGAAATTATTTAGTCCTCGCAACAGGTAACTTAACATATTCGGTTACTAGTTAGTTAAAGATAACTAGAACTGCTAAAAGCACAAAGCAAACATCATTCGAGCATTGTGTAAACATAGTCAAGCATATCCTAATTAGGCCATCATATCACTGACTAATCAGTACTGGCATGTAGTTCATAAAGCTCAAACACATATAACAGTCACATAAGGCATCCTTCCTAGATCCTTAGCCCTAATCTAGCATGCAGTTCTCATAATCATAACATAACAAACTTGTATGTGTAACTTGGGAGAACTTAAGTGAGCTCGGCTGATTGCATGCACCACACCCTTTTCTCTTTTCCAAAATCCTTTTCATTTTTCAAAGTTCTTTTAATAAAAATGATTTTCTTTTGAAAGTTCTTATACCAAGTCCTCGGTTTGAGTTCAGACACACCTGAGAGTGTACCCAAATCCCTCAAACCAAGGCTTTGATACCAACTTGAAACATCCCAAAAATACAGTCCAAAATTTTCATTTTAAATTAATAATAAAACCATGAGTTATCAACCATTTCATCAAAACATGAACCTAAGTATTTCAAAACATCATTATCAGTGTTTTCAAACATCAGAGTAAACATCCCAGGTTAAACATCTTGGTGTGTGCAATGCAGTCATCCCGAGTCCTTCTCTTTACAACTGGAAGTACCTGAAACCAAAACTGAAAAACGTAAGAACGAAGCTTAGTGAGTTCCCCAACCTACCACATACCATACACATAACCACATATCGGGCCCCTGCCCCTTCCTCGTGCCCCGCCCGACATCAGATAATTTTCGGCATCAGGCCTCGCCTGGCATCGAGCCCCGCTCGGTATACAGATCTGTTTCTCCCAGGCCCCGCCCTGTCATTGGGCCCCGCCCACTATATACAGACAAACAATATCACATAATCGTGCTAGCACATAAAGAATCATACACGATACTATATGTCCAGTCCTAAGGCCTCGCCTATCTTGGGCCCCGCCCATACTCTACTAATGAGATGTGGAACCCCGTCCACTCTTAGCTAGTGATGAGATACGGCCCTCCGCCCACACTCACCCTATCCTCACTTCTTCAGGCAACGTACTATTGTTTTTGTCAACACTTTCAGTTGTCCACCCTTTATTGGAAGCCTAAAAGGGTCAGATATCAAGAGGACCTACGAGTTTTCTAAGACTTAATAACCAAAGAAATAAGAATCAGAAGTACATTTCCACAAGTTAATTTATTTTCAGTGATTTGGTTTCCTTTTTTGTTTATGTGATGCTTTGTATGTTATAACTATTGTGGATTGACAATTGACATTTATAATTTATCTAATGTTCATTGCAACCTGTTTGATATATTCAGTTGGTATTTGTTTCTAACAACAATGTGAAAACTAATGGTGTATGTGAAAGAAATAGAACTACATTTAGAAGTACAATGCCCTATATGTTTATAATTTTCAAGAACGTTTCCTTAATAAGAATTATTAATTATAACGGCTATTAATTTTCAAAGTGGTTCTACGACGTCTCCCGTGTAATACACGAGTTATAACCTAGTTTAATAATAGAATGCTCATAAAACAATAATAGAATGTTAATAAAACAATCTCTTTATAACATGACATTTAGCTCTATAATTAAAAAAAATTAATATGAGACCGAAACCAAACCAGAAATTTATAATACAAAATATTTTTACTGCTTACCTTTCTGTATATCTAATTTCCGGGCTGGTGATTAGTGGTGAACAGTAAACCCTAAGACCCAATTCTTCGACATTTTCCCAATCGGTATGATGGGTAAGTTTCTACTTCATACACCTTCATGTTTTTAATTCATCGAAAGTCCTGTGCGAAGGAGATATCGTTTAGGATTTCTGCTCATTCCAGCAGGAAACGTAAACCCTGTTTTGAGTAGTCGTTGATAATCATCACGTATATACTGGAAAAAAGAAATCAGAAAACCGATTTTCCCTAGGATTTATTACATTAGTTTGAATAGGACAGGTAAAATCTAGTTTTTGTCAGTTGAATGTATATTATGTGATCATGTAAGTTGATTTAACTTGGGTTTTGCCCGAGGAAGTCATTGTTGCAACTAGACAAAAATTGAGTCCAAAAGAAATTGCGTCCCTGTAAAATGCAATAAACAAATAGAGAGGTGAACCCCTCTAGAGTTTCGTGCCAAGAGTCACTTTTTTCACACGCACGCATCGTAGGTCAGCTTGTTTGGCATATTCCATAACCACATTCCTTGTGTCATCAAAGTATCTGTTGAATTCCCACAGCTCTTTTAACTGTTTCAACGAACCCTTTAATTAGACTGAAATTTTTTGGTTCTCACCCTTCCTTCTTTGATACGATAAGTTTCTTGTAATGTTTTGTGTAGGGTTGATATTTGGATGATTGTCTTTTATAAAAATGTAATATGTGAGTCACCTTTTCTATAAAAATGCTTCCAGCAATTAAGTCATAAGTATTGCAAACAATACAACTTCTCTATCCTGAGTTATGTTACCACACCCCAAAAAAAAATGCAAGAAGAGTATAAGAAATGTGAAGTTCTGGAATGTTTTGGTTGTCTTCCATTTGTTTGAAATAACTTAGTCCCATTTTTTTCTTTTCTGAATCTAATGAAAGAGAATTATAGAGCTGGGATTGTAACTTGTGCTAAAGAAGATAGAATCAGTAACTTGCCTGAACACTTGATAGAATCAATCTTGGAGCGGGTCCCGCTTGAAGAGGCTGTAAGGACAAGCATTTTATCAAAAAATTGGAGGTACAGATGGACCACAATGAGGGCGCTTGTTTTTCATGAATACTTCTCCATAAAATTTGCAAAAAATGGAGCTTTTGGTCGTAATGGGTTTATAAGGATCATAAACCAAATCTTGTTCCTTCACAAGGGTCCTATTTTAAAATTTCATCTCCATATACCAGACATATCTCTTGATAGCTACAAAGAAGTTGATCAATGGATGCTATTCTTATCAAGAAACGGTGTCACTGAACTCGTTCTTACAAATTCAAATCGCCGTTATGAACTTTCTTCTCATGTGTTTTGTTGTTTAGAATTGAGAAGGTTGAAACTGCAAAACTGTTTTTATAAGCCACTTGAGTTCGAAGGATTTCTCAATCTTGTAGAACTTATATTGAGGCATATTGATTTTGGGGCTAGATTGTGTGGAACTAAGATCAACCTACCACAACTTAAGCACTTGTCACTGTTTAAATGCACAAATGTCTACAATTTCAACATTCAGGCTACAAAGCTGCAGATTTTAACCGTCTCTGCTTGTCCTGATGCCATGTTGCTCCGGTTATTGGACAGTCCATGGCTTTTAAAGGCTATGATTGCTTTGCAGAAACCCATACAAGATTTTCTACGACTTGAAAAAATGAATTTGTCAACAATGTTGAGTAAGTTGCCCATAGTTGAATACTTTCATATCGACAAACATTTTCTCAAGGTATGATATATAAAGGATTTTGCACGAAGGGTTATGTAACTTCCATGTTTATTGGGTAAGTTAAAATCTAACTTTCATCTCACAGTGTTTGATTGCAGAAAAGATTCCAAAATTACTTCCACATGCGATAACTAGTTTAAAGCATCTGGGGTTGATGGATTTTGAACTTGGTGATTTGGATCTAGTTCATAGTGCTCTTTGTTTGCTTCGAAACTCACCCAATCTAGAAAAACTGTTTGTTTCGCACTCTTTGGTAAAGTAAAGAGTTTTAAAAGTAAACAACACAAGAAGAGTTGGATGGTAAAGTGCTGTTGCATTTTTATGTTGTTTCAGGAGCCTCGAATTGATGTGGGACCAGCTTCAAATCATTTGGAATCCCCAGACTGCTTGTATCGTACACTGGATCAGTTGCAAATTGTCGAGATGAGACATTTAAAAGGATCAAAAGCGGAACTGTTTTTTATAAAGCTTCTTCTTGCTCATTCCCCTTCTCTCCAGAACTTTACCATTACACCAAGTCAGAAAACTGATGCTCAAAAAAGATTTGACATTGCTAAAGATGTGATGCAGTTCCCTCGAGCCTCACCCAAAAGCAAAAATGTTCTACTTGAACCCGGAGATATAATCATGTAATAATGTTCAACTACATTGCAATTTTGCTCTTTATACTTTCATCTTATAAGCACATTTTTTTTTTAATAAATAATTTCACTTGCTATTTTTTGGGGTGGTATGATACTAAGAAACAAGAGCTCCATAGACTATATATAGATTTAAGCCATTAGGAAACCAGGAATTTGTAATGTCTTGGTATGTTATGATTTAATTCAAAAGTTTCCTCCTAATTGTTTCTTGATTTTTGCTTCCGTGTGGCATGTGTTAATACTTGTAAACAGTTGTGTGCATGAATAAGAAACTGATGATCTGGGATTTCTGTTATGCAGATCTGCAGTGACTATAGCAAATAACCACTATGTTGAAGAACAAAGGGAAGGTGAAGGTGTGTGTGTGGGTGTGTGTGTCAAATTACATGCGTTGAAAGAGAAATACTAAAGTTTAGTGCAGTTTATTTAGATTAAAAGCTACAGTAGTGTGTTTATAGTATTGGAAAGTTGTTGGCCTTCATTTAGAAAGAACTCCTGATGTGCTTCTAGGTTGATGGTCATGACATGGATTAATGCTAAAAAGGCCATTGGAATCGTTATTTTGACAAGAAGTTTCGTTAATCCTTATGTTAGGTAGCATGCTCTAACGAGACCTTGTATGAAAGTAATTAGTATCTCATTGAATATGGAATGTTGGGGGTTAGTATTAGGTATTTCACTATTCCTAGTAATTAATATTGAAGACCGTTAATTATCATTATCATTAAAGTCAGTCGAAAGATTCTTGTCAAACATTGATCACCAGTCCTTGCCGTTTAGTTATTAAACATCAACACTTATGTTGGATTCACCTTCTCTTCTCTGTTGCTGCTCTATAATGTAATAATTTAGAAGGTTTTCTAAGTATAATAGGGAAAAAAATACAATGTTACAATTGTTAGAACACATAAACCAGCTTTTACCGACGATGTATCCTGCAATTTAGCAGCCTGTGCATTGTGGCTGAAATGCAAATTGATGGCCGGATCTTGCAAGGTCACCACTCTTTATCTAAAAGAACAAGTAAGCTGATGATGAGTTTTTTGAACGGATCTACAAATCGGTATCGTTGTAGGGTTCCATTCGACGAAAGAAAAAAAGCAGTGGTCGCCTCCAGAAACTGCAGAAGTAAAGATGGTGACCGAAAAAATCGTCGGTGGCCAAAAAACGTTGCTAGAACAGTTCAGAATCAGAAGGTGGAGAGTTTCATGATCTTGCCTTTTGAGATGTCCAATAGTGGGTTCACGAACTCGCAGGATCTACCGATGACCGAATGAAGCAGTTATGGTGGTGGTTGGACTTTCAGGGGGTCGACGGTAGTGGGTGAAGGAGAGAAATGTGGTTGATGGTGGGCGACGGTCTATGGGGTAAGAGGCGGTTAATGGCGGTCGCCGACGGCAGTGTACAGATGGTGATGGTGGTGCGGGAGACCCCGGATGGCTTTTAGGGAAGAGGGGCACACTCAGAGACTATGAACGTGAGTAGAAGTACGAAAGGTAAAGGGAAGGTGTGGGGGTAGAGTCTAAGGGGGTGAGGGTGAGTTTATTTATTGATTTGATTTATATAATATTTAAAATTTAAATATATAACTAAAAAGAAATTTAAAAATAATTATGTTTGTAGGCCACCAAAATACATAAAAATAAAACATAGGAACGTCCTGGTTAAAAAGAAAAGTAGGGACGACCGTGCAAATTACCCGAAATCAACTATTCGTGTAATTTACTCTTAAATTTACAAAAAATAAATATAATGTTAGAAAAACTAAATTCATAGAGTAGCAATCTTCTTTTGAAAAAAAAAACCAATGATAGAATGCTAAAAAAATCTGTTTATAAAAATGATATTTATGTCATTAGCTCGATAAAAAAATAAAAAATAAAAAATAAACTAAAGGTAATGTTATTTTGGAAACGATAAAAAAGGTAATTTTATTAAAAACTAGAGGGATTGCCCTCGCATTGCTACGAGTCGGGAAAGACTTCATGCAATTTCAAACAGATACATCTTGCTTAATCTTTCTGCTATATCTACCTTTACGTAACACCTTTGAAGCTAACATGACTACCAGAACACATATGTAACAGATTATAATATTAGAAAAAGGTATAACATTAGAAAAAACGTATAAGCATGCCTCATAAGATACATGAAGATGTGAAAGAGAAATGACAAATACATATAAACCTGCCCAAAATCATCTTTTATCAGCTTCCTTTTAGTCTTATACATAAGAGAATTTTCCACCTGTACTCTTTCAAGAACAGGAGTTGCATTTCCTTCTTCTTTAACTCCCATTATTTTATCAACACTTCCACCGTAGATTGCCATGTGAGATGCATAAATACAATTGCTGCTTAAATTCTGAGAAAGTAAATCAAAGGGGTAATCTGTTTAAATAAATATGTGCATATATTAGCCATAAAAAAGTTCAAAAAAAATCACCATCATTGTACTGAATCAGGCGCATATGCATACCCGATGATTCTTTTCCACTTCAGTAATCAAGGTTTACTTCAACCTGAACCCATTTCAAAAGTCAAAGACGTATCTTTTATCCACCCACTACAAGAAATCTGGGTATTAGCGGCGACGCCTGTCGTCGCTAATGGTTGAGGTTGTCGCCGCTAATACCTTTAGCGGCGACATGTCGCTGCAGATGCGTCGCCGGTAATGCTTCGTAGCTAATACACATCCAGACGCCGCTAAAGGTTACCTGTCGCCGCTATTGCTTTCGCCACCGCTAATAGCCAGCCGTCGCCGCTAATAGTGTGTCACTGCTAATACGTAGTTGTCGCCGCTAATAGTGTGTCGCCGCTAATAGCCAGCCGTACCTAGTGATTTTCTTAGTAAGAAATGCAAATTCTCTCCACTTAGTTTCTCATTTCCATCATTGATCAAAGTTCAGAAGAAGATCATATCCAAGGGAATTGTCAATCTTGCAGTGAAAATCAAGCCATGGTTGCTTCATTTCAAACTATAAATAATTCAAACTATATGCGTTCAACTATGTGAATGAGAATTTCATCTAGGGGCCTTCCTTTTTAGCTCCATCTAGTAATAAATTAAAAATAGAATAGCAAATTAGGGTATTGGATAGAGAAAATGACCTTGTGAATCCATTAGGGGACTCTTTCTTAATTTCTTGTTCTCTACTTGTTGAAGGTAAGTTTTGCACTTGTTCTAGCATTTGGTATCATTCTTAATCTCAGTAATCTTCCCCCCAATGTTGGACACGTCTTTCATAGATTGATCTAATCTATAAAAAAACAAAAGTAAGAAAATATCATAAAAAAAGATTAGATGTGTGCAAATTTATATTATGTCAATCATATAGGTGATTAAGAAATCTTGAACATAAACGTCAATAGAAGACTACATGTATTCTAAAACAGCTTGAAGTATCTTTTGGGTGGTCTTTGCAAGGTAACATTTGAAGGTACTTTTCAGATTGATGCAGCTGCTATATTTTCACTTTCTTAGTTTCTTGTGAGGGGTCAAGATAGATTTGCTACTACCACATCACTACTAGAAAACATTGGGTTTTCCTACGGAAAATAGCTACGGAAAATTTCCGTAGCTAATTAGCTACGGAATCGCTACAGATCCGCTACAAAATGGGATGCCCTAATTTAGTAACGCAATAGCTACGGAGTAGCTACGGATTCTACTTCGTAGCTCATATGTAGCTAATTAGCTACAACATAGCTACGGAATAGCTACCGAAGCATTATCCGTAGCTATTCCGTAGCTAATTAGCTACGGAATGCCTACGGAATACCGACGGACACTAATTATCTACGGATTACCTACGGAGTATGCTTTCCGTTAGAATTCCATAGCTAATCCGTAGCTAAGTAGCTACGGATTAGCTACGGATTTTTCTTATTTTCGATTTTTCGGGCACCAAACGTCGTTTTTTTCGCTTCGTTTTTTTCACACCTCTACTATACATGATTAACTATATTTTCACCAACTTATAGCTATTAATATCGTTCATAAAGTCGTGTGCCCCTTCGGGATCAAGTACTCATTTCACAGTTTAACATGGTAATGCATATACTTTTCACCAACTTGTGATGGATTATGTTTGTATATGTATATTTATATACATGAATGAGTTGTGGTATATGTGTACGTGTATATGTGTATGTATACGTGTTTGTGAGATGTATGAGAACGTTATCATAAGCATTATAGTCTTAAACCACTAAACGAGTAATGGATCCCGTATGTGCCCACAACTTTATAAATGATATTAATAGCTATAAGTTTGTGAAAATATAGATAATCATGTATAATAGAGGTCTGAAAAAAACGGAGCGAAAAAAAAACAAAGTTTGGTGCCCGAAAAATCAAAAAATAAGAAAATTCTGTAGCTAATCCGTAGCTAATTAGCTACAGATTTTTCTTATTTTTGATTTTTCGGGCATCAAACTTCGCTTTTTTTTTCGCTCCGTTTTTTTCAGACCTCTACTATACATGATTATCTATATTTTCACCAACTTATAGATATTAATATCGTTTATAAAGTCGTGTGCCCCTTCGGGATCAAGTACTCGTTCACTACTAGAAACAGGGTTTCAGAGACGGAAAAATCCCTCTCTATTCCGTCGCTAAAGGACGATTGCGACAGATAAGCGATAAACATACTCTCTAGCCAATTAAAGTGTGGCTAATAACCTAGCGACAGATTTAGCGACATATTACTTTTTCCTTGCGACGACCTTAGCGACGGATCATCCATTGCAAATTCGTCACTTAATACAATTATTTAGGACATCGGCGACAAAACTCAGCACCATTAATCCGTCGCTAATCCCTCACAAAATCTCTATTCTATGTTTTTTTATATTCTGTCGCTGATCCCTCTCAAATTTAATATATGATTTTTTTTTCTTTTCCATTGCTGATCCCTCGCAAATGAGTAATATCAAACTTTTTTTTTTTTTTTTTTGTATTACAAATCTAAAACAAAAAATAATTATACAATCCCAAATCAAACATTATCATTTAAATACCAAAAACATCAAATAAATATATAATCCAAATCCAAACATTAACAATGAAATACCAAAGTTAAACACTCATTGCTATTTGATTTCAAAGTATAATATAAACATATTTCTGCATTTCCTCTCATATTTTGCATTTCCGAATATATCTTTTCTATTGTTTCATATCTTGCATCCGAAAGAAGGATTGGAATGGAATTGGATTCCGATTCCTGTTCAATCTCATTGAATTAGGCAAACCAAGTGCCACTTACTTATTCCTGCAATGGAAGGAGACTTTGTTGGAAGCATTTGAAACCAAGTGTTGGACCGGAATGGAATTCAATTCCCATTCCGACCTAAAAGTAAATGGTAATATATGTTGGTGAAAGAAAATACCGTGTTTGCATACTGGTCTTTGGAAATTGTCTTTTCTCCTAGCATTTGATTCTTTGAACATTTGTGTTGACTATTACAGAGCATCTACAATATTTTTAATTAGGAAGAAAATTATAGAACTACCCTTCTTTATCAGCACAATTTCACATATTATCTAAAGTTTATATTCATGTAAATAGAGTCCGACCCAACAATCTTTTACAAAAAAAATAAAGTTCTCTTTTATATCAAATAAATGACAAATAACTTACATAAACTTTGGCAGTAGACTTTGGATCAAAGAAAAGTCATTTCATCACCCCTCTCCAAGATAGTTGTAAACAAGCCACTGATAATTACATTAAAAATCATAAGGACCAAAATTGTAAATTACCTTAAAAATTATACAAATATCTATATATAATAACAAATCATAAACCAAGGTTTTCTAGTAAAAATATGCATAATTAAACACTAATCTTTCATTCCATAACAGTTGAGGTGGATCTGAGGGCAAACTTCTAGTGTATCAATTGTTTGCAAGTTTCATTTAAGGACAAGAATGATCACAGATAATAAACAAGTTTCCATGATTATGTACAATTGTGAAGAAAAGATTATCCGTTGTTAATCAAACACAAATAAAAGGGAGCATAACGGTTAATCGTCTTAGTGTCTCTTTCAATTTGTTTCACATGTGAAAAATACATACCTTGCAAGCAACCAATTGTTGAAATAGTCAAAAACATGATCATGATTGAGTTTGTGATAGAATGCTTTTGAGAAAGGACCTCAAGATACACCTTGGATTCACTTAGAATCATGTATCACTGAAAATTGTGCTTCACCTGTAAAAAAGAGTTTAAATGGTTTGTCAGCACTCTACCATTACAGGAAAAAAAACAAGGTAACAGGCTATCAGGAACTCTTCTAAATAACTACAGAGGTAAATGCAGGTTGCCTTCTTTAATTTTTTTGACTATCCCAGATTCAGATTATCTCCTGTTCAGTTAAACAAACCAAAATAATATGCTTTACACATCATCCTTATGCTGTTTTTCTTTAGCCAGGTTTCTCTTTTGTGCATAGGCCATGTGTGTATGAGCTTATGGTGATCCTGCAACGTGAATCAAGAAAAAAAAGCATTAGTTAGTAGGACCAAACAAGCTTTATATGGCTATTTCTGATGATGAAGAGGAGGAGGAAGGCATTTATATCTTTGTATTTTAAGAAAAAAGCAAGAAGTTTCAAATAGACCGACACCCAACAAAGCATATGGAAGGTTTATAGGAAGAATAAGAAAAAAGGTGGTGCGCCTTGAAATTGGTGGCATAATTTACTTCTTTTCTTATACCATATGTCTCATCTAATCATTATGTCGTAAAGACTCCGGCTGCAATTAAACAATAAATTAAAATCCATTATTTCTGACTAAAAAAAACTAAAGACAATACAATACAATACATACCCAATACACATCAGTAAGTGAGGTGAGATCCTTTGGGGCAGGAATATGATTTTCATCAAACTCACATTCTTTCGGCTCCTCTGGTTCACGTGATTTCTATCAACAAACAAAAAGATAAAAGTATATTATATAAAAAGAAATGGTGATTGGTGAAAAGAAAATGATAAGTTTTAGTTGAGAGAGTAGTTTCTCAGTATTCTTAGGGAAGGAAAAGGCATCACATGTTTCCTATGCATCATAAATTGAAGACTGAATGGTGGTGGAATGGAATCCATTATTTTTGGCATGATGATTTTTGTTAATGTGGGCAGCAATTGCAGCATCAAAAGAATCACAGCTGTATGAAATCTGCTGATGACATGGAGTGGGACCCACTGCATTATGAGATACCTCAGAGAGCAGATCACATACGCTTATGTTAGTAAGACTATTAACCCATTCCAATGTAGACAATCCAATTCCCACACTTCCACCAATACCAATACCATTGTTAGTGTTGTTACGTTCTTCACCCTTACCAAACCAACCATACCTTAAAAAACACAAAAACCATGATCAATGATTTTTCTTAGAATGCTGTAAAAATTGTTGTTAAAAAGAAATAAAAAATTAAAGAGAGAGAAACCTTAAACGGAAAATCGGAGGACTCCCAATTAAGACAGAATCCTGATTCCATTTCTGAGAATTGGAAAGATTTGATGTTTGAGCATCATAAGGCACAAGTTTTAATTCTCCAGATGCTGCTACAGTAGAGCTAGCCCATTTACATGTCATATGTTCCAAAACCGATGATATTTTCTTTATGTGTACTTAAAGTCAGCTCCAGATGCGAGTTGTGATTGTCCTAACAAAAAAATATTATTATTATTATTATACAGATAAAGATAAAGTACAAAATTTATTATTGTTTCTTACCATTTCCAAGGCTCTACGTGTAGTTTCATCAACAGGGAAAAGTTGAACTTTAAGTTTCATTGAAGACAAAATATTTTGATGAAAAATTGGCACAGGTGTGTTTAAGAGCAGGAAAGTTGTTTTCTCCTGTCTATAAGTATGTGTAATAAGATTCAGTCTTCAGTAGTAGTCAGGTGGCTACAGGATTTTCCATAACAAATAAAAAAAAAATCTAGAACTACCACATATTGCAGCAGCCTTACAGTTAATTCATAGGAAAAACAATTTTATGCAATAAGGAAAGATGAGGGAGAAGAGCTGGTGGTGGTGAATCTGTAGGAGTGGCGTTTAGGGTTAAAAGAATAGCAGGGGTGGTGTGAAGATAGTTCTCATACTGCCTCGAAAATCCGAGATGTCTTTCCAAACCTGTAACCAAACAAAAAACACTAAAAATGGCTTAATTGACCTCAGTTCAACGATTCAGTTATAAATTATCAAAATGTGAACCCTAGATTGATCAAATCCAAGCACTCGCCACTTGTAAGGGAAAATCAAGAACACAGACAGAAAGAAGAAGAGTAAGAGAAGAAGAAAACCTATTTGATGTTTATGGTGGGAGTCGCTGATAATTTCAATTGTTGCATGAGCTTTGGGCAACATGTGGTACACCTGTAACAACTTGAAGAAATCAAATGAACATGAAAATCGGAACTTAAAAAATCAAAACTCCACAACCATTAGAAATATAGGCAGTTGAGTATAGTATGTTAGTAGCCTTTGACTAATTCTAAAATGGAATTAATGATTGAAACAAAACAAGCACGAAGAATTACTTTAAAACATGAAACAAGTTTTAATTACAAGATGCAATCGATTCAGGAATCACAAATAGAGGTTTTAATTACATGATGCAATCGATTCAACGTGAATGTACATATGATGTTGAGGTATAAGAAGGATGACGATTGAAACAAGAAAAGGGGGAAATTAAACCCTAACACACTATATTGTGCAACTTAACTAAACCTAACCTAATATACGACTAAATAAAAGAAAATCAAGAGATTTACTTGAATCGGAGGTTAATGAAAACTACTTTTAGATTTTATGGAGGTTGCCGGAATCAGAAGCATCAACGATGAGTTGTGTTGTCATCTGTTTGAAAGGAGATGGTGATATTAGGTTAACATGTAATAACGAACTAACTCCAAAGTGATAAATCGGATTTGGGAGGGAAGGAAACTTACAGCAATTTTGTGAAACTGGAATTGGGTTGCGCCAATTTCAGCGAGAGATCGGCGATTGAAAAACAAAAACGCACGTACCCAAAAAATAATTTATGTCGGCGTTCTCTCGCTAAACGCATACCAGATGGCAAAAATCGACAATTTCTCTATCTGTCGCTGAACCCTCGCTGAAATGCCTTCATTTTCTACCGATTAGCGAGGGATTGAGGTATGCCAATAAACACTTGCGAAATCCATAGTTGATCCCTCGATAAACCCTCGCTCATATGAAATTTGTGGAATAAATAAAGTAAATGTCTAAAACATCGCACATCTGTCGTAAATCCCTAGCTATAAGCCTTAAACTTTGCTACAGAATTTATCCGTCGCTATATCCGTCGCCAAAACTCAAGTTTCTAGTAGTAGTTTCACAGTTTAACATTGTAATGCCTATACTTTTCACCAACTTGTGATGGATTATGTTTGTATATGTATATTTATATACATGAATGAGTTTTGGTATATGTGTACGTGTATATGTGTATATATACGTGTTTGTGAGATGTATGTGAACGTATTCATAAGCATTATAGTGTTAAACCATTAAACGAGCAATGGATCCCGTATGTGCACACGACTTTATGAATGATATTAATAGTTATAAACTGGTGAAAATATAGATAATCATGTATAGTAGAGGTGTGAAAAAAACGGAGCGAAAAAAACGACGTTTGGTGCCCGAAAAATCAAAAATAAAAAAAATTTGTAGCTAATCCGTAGGTAATTAGCTACGGATTAGCTACGGAATTTTAACGGAAAGCATATTCCGTAGGTAATTACCTACGGATTAGCTACAGAATATGCTTTCCGTTAGAATTCCGTAGCTAATTACCAACAGATTAGCTACTGATTTTTCTTATTTTCGATTTTTCAGGCACCAAACGTCGTTTTTTTCGCTCCGTTTTTTTCACACCTCTACTATACATGATTATCTATATTTTCACGAAGTTATAGCTATTAATATCATTCATAAGGCCGTGTGCACATACTGGATCCATTGCTCGTTTAGTGGTTTAACACTATAATGCTTATCAATACGTTCACATATATCTCACAAAACACGTATACCTACATCATGATGATGATTATGATGATGATGATGATGATCATCATCATCATCATCATCATTATCACCATCACCGTCACCGTCACCGTCACCGTCACCGTCACCGTCATCATCATCATCATCATCATCATCACCATCATCATCACCACCACCACCACCACCACCACCACCACCACCACCACCACCACCACCACCACCACCACCACCACCAGGGCCGGTCCTTTGGTTTTTATTACCCGGGGCGAGATAAAATTAGTATGCCCTTACATATGTACCGTACAATAGGCAAAGCATACATATAAAGCATTTATAAAATAGAAAATGCAGTAATTTAATAATAAAAATGATAATACAAACAAAACCTATAAAAATAACCTAAAACGATGCCTTTGTGCATTTTTCAAAGCAAAAACATCACTTATTTTACAATAATCAATATTTTGTAAAAAAATAACTATTGATACTTCAAATTGCTAATCCATTCAACAAATCTGTAAGGAAAGAAAGATACACCATCAACAAAGTTTATGTTCTTGTCTTCCACTTTCAAGATGTCAATTGTCAAGTGATCTGGAAAATACATTATAAAATCAGGAAATAAGAATTCATTTTTCAAAACTACTATCTAATAGCAAGAATTAAGTAAATATATAGCTTCTCCTTTCTGGTGTCAAGTGGTCTGCAAAATGCATCAGACAATCATAAATAAGAATTTATTTTTTAAAACTACTATCTAATAGCAAGAATGAAATAAACATATACCTTCTGCTTTCTGCTGCCTCCAAATATTAAAAATAATCAAGAAACTGAGAAGCATAACACAAAATTTTAGAAAGGAACCACAAAAAATCAGATTTCAAACAAGAATCAAAGCTAAATAAACAAAAATCAAACCTAAATAAGCAGATTTTCTAACAAGAAATATTTTGCTACGTCAACAAGAAACACTCCGATTTCTGAAACAATAACAAAAACACTTTCAGATAACATAATTCAGGAATTACACTGCACAGTAACCAGAAATCAGAAATTAGATCGTAAACAAAGAAAGGAAATCAAAATAAGAGAAATTAAACTCTCTTAAATCAGAATCACTGTGTGAACTGTATATATCTTAACCTAAAAGCCAGAACCACGACTTTAGGTCTTTAACCACCGGAACAGAATAGAAAAATCACAAATCATAACATGAAAAATACATAAATTTGAGGATTTAGAAACAAGGAATTATAGATATCAGGAGGAAGGAATGTAGTCGACTGTTCTGATATCTTTAGAACTTAAAATTGGTTATGGATTACTTTTTATTTGTTAGATAGTCAGAGCAACAGATTCTAGGCATAGAGACTAGGGATGAGATTTAGAACCGGAAAACCGGACCGGAACCGGAATCGGACCGGAACCGGAACCGTTAGAACCGGAATATATAGAACCGGTTCCGGTTCCGGGTTTAAAAATTGGCTTTATCCGGGTTCCGGGTAATCCGGGTTTGGGTCCATCGGGTCCGCGTAAAGCGGGTCTGAAAACCGGAACCGTTGTTAGGAACCGGAACCACTTTTACGGGCCGGAACCGGTTTTTTGTGAAACGTTTAAAAGATGTATATCTCATTCGTTTCAATTCCGATTGACATGCGATTTTTTACAACATGTAGTTTAGAGTTTGTACATGATTTTAGACTATAAACTTGCCATTTTTAGTTTTATATTCATTGACTTATAGTCCTCCAAAGCCGAGATAACAAAGCTGAAAGTTTTTAGTTTTTCAGTTTTTTAGTATTTTGTGAAAGTTTTAAAACATGCATATCTAATTCGTTTGAAGTCGGATTGACATGTGTTTTTTTCCAACTTGTAGTTTAGAGTTTGTACATGATTTTAGACTACAATTTTGTCATTTTTGGTTTAATATTCAATGATTTACAGTCCCCCGAAGTCGGGATATCAAAACTGAAAATTTTCAAAGCTATTTGTTTTTTTGTACTTTGTATTCTGTGAAAATGCTAACACATGATTTTAGACTAAAAACTTTCGGCTTTGATATCTCGACTTTGGAGGACTATAAGTCAATGAATATAAAACTAAAAATGGCAAATTTATAGTCCAAAATCATGTACAAACTCTAAACTACATGTTGTAAAAAATCGCATGTCAATCGGAATTGAAACGAATGAGATATGCATCTTTTTAAACGTTTCACAAAAAACCGGTTCCGGTCCGTAAAAGTGGTTCCGGTTCCTAACAACGGTTCCAGTTTCTAGACCTGCTTTACCCGGACCCGATGGACCCAAATCCGGATTACCCGGAACCCGGATAAAGCAAATTTTTAAACCCGGAACCGGAACCGGTTCTATATATTCCAGTTCTAACGGTTCCGGTTCCGGTCTGATTCCGGTTCCGGTCCGGTTTTCCGGTTCTAAATCTCATCCCTAGTCGGGATATCAATATGAAAATTTTCAAATTTCAACCCACTAAGTAGTAAGTAGTTACCAAAAAAATTCTGGTTTTTCCGGTTCTAAACCCACTTTATCCGGTTCCAACCTACCCACTTTGATGTTTCCGGGTTTTCCGGTTCTAGACCCACTTTACCCGCTACCGTACCCGGAACCGAACCGGAACCGGTTCCTATATACCGGTCCGGTTTCTGGTTCTACAAAATCCTGTTAACCGGTTCCGGGTTTTCCGGGTCCGGGTCCATCCGGTCCGGGTTTGGACCCACTTTCATTCCTAATAGAGACATCGATTTCTCCAATCGACAACATCACAACAACGTCTTTCTAGGCGTCGTTTTGTTTTTCTATGCGCACCATCAATAGTTGTTTGGTGCCTAATGAATTCCGCTTCCTCACGTCCTAAACAGATGAAGTAAACTGCCAGGCTAATTATTTCGGACCAACTATTTAATATACTACAAACTGCTAGAATATTTGCTGCCCTTAAAATTTTGCTACCCTGGGCTTATGCCCAATTCGCCCATGTATTGGACCGGCCATGACCACCACCACAACCACCATTACCCGTTTCATTGTTTAACGTTGTAATGCTTACACATACATATACACACACATACGCATACATATACACACATACATATACATAAGCACACACATACACACATACATACTTATACAAATATACATATTTCCCATAATTATCATATTTTTTCATTATTTAATTTATACATTAAACGTATATTATTTTTAATTGTTTGTTTGTGTGTTAAACACATTTTTAATTGTTTGTGAATATTATTATTATTAGGACTATTAGTATAATTTTTAATTGTTTGTGTTTTAAATATGTAAAAACAAAACGATCATAAAAAACAGTTTTAAGACTTGAATATTGAAAATAATAATAATAATAATAATAATAATAATAATAATAATAATAATCATCGAAAAAAGAAAGTGTATAAAACTAATAGGAGACTAACTCAGCAAGGATGTGGCATGCCCGGCTGGATGGTAAGTGTGTTGGTTAGTTATGCCCGAGATGCGAGTTTGATTCTTACCCCACCCCGTTTTTCTTTATTTTTCCAGAAACAAAATAAAACTAATTGGAGTCTAAACTAGTAAGGATGTGGCATACCCGGCCGTTTGGTAAGAATGTTGGTTAGATGCGCGTGAGACTAGAGTTCGATTCCTGTTGCAACATTTTTTTTTGATGGCCGTAGCTACGCCGTAGGTGTCTTTTAAATGAAAAACGCTCCCTGCCTTTTCTTTCTTCCCCCTCTCGCAACTATCTGTTAAGACAAGAACAAAAAAAAAACGCGAACTGCTCTCTGGTGGCCGACGAGCTCTTCCCCCTGGTGGCGGCGCTCCTTGCTCCTGCACCTTTCCGTCGTCGACGGCACTACCATTGCCGGTGCTTCTTCCCTGCTGCATTTTCCCGTCACTGACGCCAACAAAGGTAAACCCTAGTTTTTTTTCTTTTTTGTTTCTTTTTAAAAATTACTTTGTTTTAGGTTAATTTTGTTGAATATGAGCTGGTAAGGTTGAATTTTTTTTGTTGAATGTGAGGTTTTAGGTTGATTTTTTTGTTGAATGTGATGTTTTAGGTTGATTTTGGTGTTTAAGATTTGTTAAAATTACTTCCTCCTGCACTTTGTTGAATGTGTGGTTATAGATTTGTTAAATATGAAATATAGGTTGAATTTGAGGTTTTAGATTTGTTAAATATGATATATATATATATATATATATATATATATATATATATATATATATATATATATATATATATATATATGTTATATAAAAAATGTTAAGTTAAATTGTTAAATTTGTTAGTTAAATGTTTATATATGGATTTTTAGTTAATTTAAAATGCATACTATGATATTGATCATTTGTTGAAATGTTAGGTTAATAGTATGTTATGAATTTTTTTATGGATTTTTGTAACTTGAAATGTGTAGTATGTTGTGTATCGTTAGTTATACATATTAGATTAAATGGGATGTTACACTATTATATTGAAATGTTAGAGTTCTAACATTTTTAAATCGAAATGTAGTTTTAGATCAAAATGTTGTCTAATAGAGAATGGATGTACACGAAGAGACTCGATAGTCGTCGTTTGTTTAATCCGCAATGGCCACATTATGTCAATTTGTTTTTGGATTTTGCTTACACGAACGCAACAAACATCCAACGTATTATTAGGGAAGGGGTGGAAGTTTTTGAAATTAGATGTCCGTGTGTGAAATGCAAAAATATTTATTACCACCCGAGAGAATTAGTTTTTAACCATCTTATTGCCCGAGGATTCATGAATGGTTATTCACTATGGTATTTACATGGCGAAAAATATCCAACACTAGAGATTGGTCAATGTTCAAACCCAATATCAGCTCAACACGTGGTTCAAAGTTCAAATCCTGAAACGGGTGAACACATTAATAACGATTTTGGTGATTATCGTAGATACGAGGAGATGGTCATCGAAAGCATGCATCAACCTGAGGCTTCTTATTATAAACAAACACCACACCACCCAAATCTTGAAGCTCAAAATTTTTATAAAATTTTGAAACAAGTGAGTGAACCTTTATGGGACGGGTGTACAAAAACTTCCACACTCGCCGCCACCACTAGATTATTGGACTGGAAATCACAATCTAATGTTTCAGACACGTCATTTGATAAACTACTTTTGATTGTTAAAGACATTCTACCATCTGGCGAGAAGCTTCCTAATAGCTTCTACGAGACCAAGAAAATGTTGAAGCCACTAAAATTGCCTTCAGAACGGATTCATGTGTGTATAAACCATTGCATGCTATTTAGGGGCCAGTTTGCTGATCTGGATCAGTGTGTAGTATGTGGTGAAAATAGATACAAAGACAGAGGGAGGAAAGTTCCTCATTTGGTCTTAACTTACATGCCGATTGGACCGAGACATCAAAGGATCTTTTATTCAAGGAAGACGGCCAAACATTTAACTTGGCATGCAGATCATTCAATAGATCCAGAAAAGATGATACATCCCAGTGAAGGTAAAGCATGGAATCATTTTGACACAACATATCCTGATTTTGCAAATGAGACGCGCAACATTCGTCTCGGGTTGTGCACTGATGGGTTTAGTCCTAATAATTCAAACACAACTCCCTATTCATGGTGGCCGGTGTTTATCACTGTTTACAACCTACCCCCTTGGTTGGCTTTTAAACATCAGTACATACAACTTCCATTGATCATTCCTGGGAAGAAGAGTCCTGGACAGAATTTGGATGTTTTTTTTACAACCTCTGGTGGAAGAGTTGAAGATGTTGTTCATAGATGGCATTGAAGCTTATGATGCTCATCGAATGACCAATTTTCAAATGAAGGTTGTACTTCTATGGACAGTTAGTGACTTCCCTGCTTATGCAATGTTGTCCGGATGGAGCACTCATGGTAATTTAGTGTGCCCATATTGCATGCACCAAACAGAATCATTCCGGCTTGTCAACGGACAAAAACCGTGTTGGTTTGACTATCATAGAAAACATCTACCCGTAAGACATGTATTTCGAAATGATTTTTTAAAAGGAAAGAAAGTGAAGGTTCGTGAAGTGCCTGTTCCGTACCCAACCGGATAATATATTTGGGAGAAAATCGAACATTTTCCCACTGTATACAACGGTACGCCCTATGGTCCAAATTATATAAAGCCACATGGTTTTGGTATTACACATAACTGGGTAAAGAAGAGCATCTTTTGGGAGCTTCCATATTGGTGTCACCTGTTGATCCGACACAACGTTGATTTGATGCATATTCATAGGAATTTTTTTGAAAATATGTTTCAGGCTTCTATGGGCACCTCAAAGTCCAAAGACAATATAAAGGCAAGAGAGGATATTGAGATGCTATGTGATCGACCTATACTAAACCCTATCAGGGACAACAACATGAAGGCTAGGAAGAATCGTGGAGATTACACATTGAAAAAGGACAACAACAGGAAGGCTAGGAAGAATCATTGGAGAAAATATACCCTCCGGGCTTCTTTGATTCAATGGAACACCTAGTCATACATTTAGCTGATGAAGCTATTGTTGGTGGTCCGGTACATTATAGATAGATGTTTCAATACGAGAGGTAATCAAATGTTTTAATATTATATATCTAACATTTTTAAAGTTACTTGCGGTATTCCTAACACATCGTCCATACTTTGTAAATATAGGAAACTGGGCATAATTATAAGAAGAATAAGGAAGAAAGCAAGGGATGAGGGTTCAATAGTCAACGAACATCTAGTGAATGAACTCACTACCTATTGTTCGTTATATTTTGACCCGACGATTGAGACACGCCATAATCGAGAAGCACAAAATTTTGCACCGCAAAGTCATAATTTTTCTAGTGGAGAAGCTCCACTTAGCATCTTTGTTGTCCCTTGAAGAAGATTATATGAAAAAAGTGGAAAACGACAAGCTTTGACTGATAAAGATTTTCACAAGGCGCACACCTATATATTACTTAACTGTAAAGAAGTTAACCCTTACATCATGGAGTTTGATGAAATGGTCATGAAAACAAATCCAAACGAATCAGTTTCAGATTTAAGAGATAAATACTTTGTTGAATGGTTTGAGGACAAAGTAAGTAGAAATAGTTAAATCATACTGATTGTTATTAATGCATCATTAACCAACATAATGTGTATATTTTCAATGTAGGTAATGTATAAGAAACCTGATGGACGTGCTAGACACTTAGAAGTTATAACTAATAAACCATCGACACATGCTCATTAGTATAATGTGTATTTTGTAAATGGTTATAAGTTTCACACTCAACAATACGGTGAGGGTCGTGTGACGAATAACTTTGGAGTATGTGTGAGAGGGGAGACGTATAATGCCGAACAAGAGTCAGACTACTATGGCATAGTGCAAGAGATCTTAGAGATTAAGTATTATAGCAGCCGACCCTCGACTGTTGTACTTTTTAATTGTATTTGGTTTGATAACAAAGACGGTGTAATAGTCAACAAAAACAAGTTGATTGATGTCAAACCCAACTCTCGACTTCAAACTGACGACCCTTTTTGTTTGGCATCACAAGCCGAACAAGTGTTTTATACCTTATACCCTTCAATGACAAGGGAGACTAAAGATAAGTGGGCGGTGATCAAGAAAAAACCAAGAGGGGTATTTGAAGTTACCGAAGCTGAAATGGAAGCAAATGAAATCTTTCAGGATGAAGAACGATTTGAGTCACCCCTTACTGTAACTCGTGCAGAACGACTGTGCCTAGCCTCAACTACAAATATGTATGAGCAAATATCTGATGACGAGAATGAGAGAATTAGGGAGGAAGATGAAGAAGTGGAAGATTTTGAAGTCGGAGATGATGAAAACGAGTTGTATTATTCAGAAGAAGAATTTGAAGACGAAGACGATGAGGACGGATGTTAGGAGCATTGTCTTGTGTTGATGATAAGAGCATTGTATTTGTTGATGTTAAGAGCATTGTCTTCTTTTTTAAAACCTTAAAATTAAATGTTGTTTTTGTAATGCTTTTGGTTTGGACATATTGTTCTTTTAAACATTTCTTTTGTCATGACTTATTAATCTTATATTATATAACTGACCATTCTTGTTCTATTAAATGCATCATGTCGGGTAATAGACGCAAGGATAAAGGCCACATTAACAACTCTTTTTCTGGTAGTGCGAGGCATAGGGTGGGGAAGGCATCCCCTAATTCTACCGAAGAGCCATGTCATAGGACGTCGCTCATACTGATCGATATGCTGATAGTGACAGGAGTTGCAGGCTCCAACAGTCAGGGTGCTATTAGTCAACAAACCGGTATGGCTGATCCTCTAGCAAACTTGGCCGAGATTCTCCGTTTTCGGGCTCGAGAGACGGGTCATATGCCCCAACTCCCACATACGGATTATAGGCCTCAACTCCCACTACAGATGGATTATAGGCCTCAGTCCCCACAAATGTTTTTGAGGACAGGTGGTAATGATGGGTTTGAGGACTATCGTTTTGAGGGTGCAGATGCAGAGGCAACCTTTCGGTCACCACATACCCCACACACACCGATGGCACCGAACACGCCATTGACGCCGCATGGCTCCGCCTCTAGAGGTATTTCAGGAGGTCACGACTCGAATGCGAGTGATTTTCACGCCTCGTCGTTGCCCCTCATCAGCCGAGATAGGGAAAAGTTAGTGTTTTCATCATTTAAAACTTAATTTCTTGATGTTATAATTATACTTATATAGTTTTTTCAATACTGTAGGTTTGGGGATCAAAAAATCCACAGCGTGTGTATTCGTCTCTTTTGGGAGAATTTGGATCATCCGTGGGCCCAGTTCAGTGATATTCCAAATGAGGCTCTTATACAGATGTTTTCGCGTTTCGGGGTAATATATTAAATACTTGTTATTGTATCTTATACTAATTTGTTTTTAGTTTGTATTTTTAAATTTACTTTTTATTTTTTACAGACCAAGTACAGGTGGCATTCACAAGAGAAGGAGAACATATTTGATGCATTCAAGTGTGTCCTCAATGATAGATACAGAGATAGGATGAAAGGTATCAGGAGACAATCTGCCAACATGGCACGAAATAATGGGAAACCCCTACCCCCAAAGTTTTGAAGCTACTATGATGCGATGAATAACTACCGCCCCGAACGCGTACCGGAGACTGTGTGGCAACGTTTGTGTGATGTAACGGATATGATACATTATTATTTTTTTGTTAAGTTTTTGATTTCTTATTATATTATTGTACTTATATATATATATATATATATATATATATATATATATATATATATATATATTCTTTTCAAAGCATTGGTCCACATAGAAGTGGCAAAAGAATTAAAAAATCGCTCAGCAGAACCGCAACACCGCAGACTCTAGTGGGTCAACAGCAAGACATATTGCGGGTAGTATAGGATTTGACCAGCATCGTAGGAAATTAGTAAGTATCACAATAATAAATTTTATTATTCTTATTTTGTTATAACACTAACTACATTAATTGTACGTTGACTTTTATGTAGGAAAAATTGATGGGTAAACCACCCACACAGTATGATGTTTTCGTGAAGACGCATGGCACTGCCGAGTCGAAGAAAAAATATTTTGAGGGAAATCATGAAAATCTTGAATATTGCTCGCAGATGGCCAAAGAAGCACAAGTAACTTATCTTTATCATTTATGTATATTGATTGTCTCATTTTTGTATATACAATCTTGTTGTTTTTTGTAATTTGTAGGAAGCGTATCTGCAGGGGTTGGTCAACAAATTTGGTGAAGATCCTGCAAAACGTAAGGATGATGTAGATGTATGGGAGGAAAGCCAACTTAGAAGAAAAGGAAAGAGGAAGGGTGCTATCTATGGGATAGGAGCATCAAATATGCATTTTTTGGTTTTAGGGACTCCATCTTCCTAATCCACCCAGTCCACCCAGTCGGATAGCACGCAACAAGAGGTATGTTGATAATACTGATTAAATTGATAATAAACAAAAGTATGTTGCTATTATGGTTAAAATTTATGTAGTTTGTTGATAATATTAATTAAACTGTTAATAAACAAAAGTACGTTGCTATTATGGTTAAAAGTTATGTAGTTTGTTGATAATATTGATTAAACTGATAATAAACAAAAGTACGTTGCTATAATGGTTAAAAGTTAGGTAGTTTGTTGATAATATTGATTAAACTGATAATAAACAAAAGTACGTTGCTATAATGGTTAAAAGTTAGGTAGTTTGTTGATAATATTGATTAAACTGATAATAAACAAAAGTAGCTTGCTATAATGGTTAAGAGTTAGGTAGTTTGTTGATAATATTGATTAAACTGATAATAAAGAAAAGTACGTTGCTATAATGGTTAAAAGTTAGGTAGTTTGTTGATAATGTTGATTAAATTGATAATAAACAAAAGTATGTTGCTATTATGGTTAAAAGTTAGGTAGTTTGGTGAGAATATTGATTAAATTGATAATAAACAAAAGTATGTTGCTATTATGGTTAAAGGTTATGTAGTTTGTTGATAATATTGATTAAATTGATAATAAATAAATATATGTTGCTCTTATGGTTTAAAAGTTAAGTGTATTGCTATAATTATAAACTAAAATGCATTGTTACAATAAACTAAAATACATTGCTATTATTGTTTAAGCATTGAATTGTGTTACCATTTTTTAGGTTGATAGGTTGCGTGCTCAAGTTTCTATCATGGAACAACAACAACAACAACAACAAATGAAAGAACAAATGGAGATGGTTATAAGGATGATAAATATGTCTGGAAATCAACCCCGTGGTCCCCCCGATAATCCACCCGAGGACAATTGATAAGTATTTTGGAACAATTGAATTTGTAAACACTTGTATTGTTTGCTTGTTTTGTTATGCTTAATTTGTATGGTATTTAAGACAATGGAATTGAATGTGTCAAAGTTGGTATTAGGGACATTTTTTGGTGTATTTTGGACAAATTGAATTGATATGGTATTTGACAAAAAATGGAAATTTTTAAATTTTAATTTTTTTTTTTGATAAAATGAAATTAGCTACGGACTAGCTACGGAAATCCGTCGCTAAATAGGTCCGTAGGTATTCCGTAGGAAGAAAGTCAATTTTAGTCAAACTTGAGTTCTGTCGTTAATTCGTAGGAAATCCGTAGCTAAACAGTTCTGTAGCTATTCCGTAGGAAAATACTTGCATGGGTAATCCGTAGGAAATCCGTATCCATGTGATTCCGTAGCTATTCCATAGGAACATACACCCGTCGGCAATCCGTAGGTATTCCGTAGCAATTACTGTCCGTAGCTATTCCGTAGGTATTATACCTACGGAAAAATCTGTAGCTATTCTGTGGCTAGTCCATAGCAATTCCGTAGGTAAAAATTTCCCACGGGCATTTATGCTACAGGGCATTTTCCGTAGCAAATCCGTAGGTATCGCCTTATACCTACTGAATAGCTACGGATTGTGCCGTAGCTGTTGCCCTAGTTTTCTAGTAGTGCATGCCTTTAGGTGATCTGATTATTTCAGTAGGTATTCAGTCCAAGTACTAAAGTTAGATATATTGTTATATCGGTTTTAAATATAATGTTTTAATAAATATTGTATTTCCCTAACTGGGAAATATCGATTTCCTATCCTATATATTCTATTTGAGTTATTAACTGCCATCTTGTATTTAGGCTCAAATTACCGGTCAAATAAGCAAGAATATAAGGTCTTTTCCAGACCATCTCTACTAACAGATGCACCCCTCAGGATTAAGGCTTCTTTTGATAACTTCTTCACGGGTAACCATCAAACGCTTTTGCACTGCATCTTCCAGTTCAATAGAATAAAACCTAACAATCATAAACATATATTCAGTGATGCATACACATCAATTAATGTATATCAAAAACAGGACAAAACACACATTAGCAACTAAAAATTCTTAATAACTCATAGAAAAACTTTTTAATGTGATGAACCTGGAGTTGTTATTTGTAACACTTTTTGCGTTGCCAAATAAGAAAGCTTAGTCATGTCATGAACTCCACCAGTAGTGGCTTCCACATCTTTGTAATATATTTTTGATAAATTCGCAACAACCTTCAATGGTATAATAGGGAAAATGTAAATTGAAAGTAAAACCATTAATTTACCAGAAAAGAGTGAAATTAAAACTGAAAGGGATAGTCGATTCACATTTGACATAATACATGATCCACTTACTTTCTTCCTATCAGTAGTTTGGATCTCAGCTTCCTCTCCATTTATTTTTAACACTTGTCCATCTATCTAAGCGACTGATGGGTCTCCAACCCAAACTTCAGAACCTACGATAATATTTGTTGTAGCACCCTACATATTAATTCAGAGCTCCATAAGGTACCAGGAAAATAAGAAAAAAAAGTGATAAATTTTACATGGTTTAATCAAGAAAATAACATGGATGTTGTGGATTAGGACCAAACGACATCAGTTAAAGTTTTGTAAAACTTACACACAACACAAACACAAATAGTTATACGGATAAATAGAAAAGTAAAGTGAGATCGATACGAGGTTGATAAGTGATAGTAGAAAGCTTGCATCAAACATTCATTCAGACATTTCATCAAACATCTAAGGAGCTTGTCCGTAACACAACTGCAAACCCATCTTTAATATGTAACCTGAGAAAAATATAACAAATTTTATGAAGAAAGCGTCAAATGATGTTAAATTTTCGAATGCAAAGACAAAATGTGACCATGGATGTTGTTGTAAACTCTCAAAAGTACGAAATAGAGCATAAAAATAAACACATAGCAAACGGAAATAAATAAGAAAGAAAAAGAAAAGTTAACCTAGTTAGAGTCTTGAAATTCCTGAGCCTCAAAGTTTAACAATGAAAAAAGACGGTGATGGCATCCCATATAGATATATGTTAGATGCATTTCATGCATCCATTTTGTAGTTTTACTCCATAAAAGTGCATTGCATTTAGGTTTAAACTCAAGCATTTTGCATGTTTTTCGGGATTTTTCATGAGGCAATTTCATTCACACATTTTTGTGATATTTCAGGGACTTTTGGAGGTAGGATATTGTTGGAGGAGGTAAATAAGAGTTGCGGACAAAATTTCGGGACTTGTGGAGCACCGAGGAGCAAGATATCAAAGAAATGAAGATTTTGGCTTTATAGAGATTTACACGGCCGTGTAAATGAAAGCCTTACGTTTACACGCCCGTGTAAACGTAGATTTCTGCGCAGTGTATTTTTGCGTTTACGCGGGCGCGTAAACGACATTGTTAATTTACGCGGGCCGTGTAAACGTAAATGCGAGTTTTAAAGCAGTTTTTCACCATTCTTGAAGGGGGAAACCGATTTTTTTAAGGGGGGTCGACTTTTGGAGCAGGGAAGGCGATTTTCTTGAGGATTTTGGAGTTTATTAACACTTGGGAACATTTGATTTCACTTTGTAAGAACTTTAATTTCATTTTCTAGATTTGTGATCTTGTTCTAGTCATGAGTGGCTAGAACCCTAGATTCTCCAACTTTATGTCTTGACATTTGGATGTGATTTCAATCATATGACTTGATGTTTGTTTTCAATTTTCTATCTAGTGAATTTGATTTTGTCTCAATCGAATGTTTGATTCTAATTGTGATTCTTATTGGCCATTTGAATTAGGGTTAGATCATTCAAGTTATCTAATTGCAAAATCCGTAATTGTTTTGTAAATTAGACTAGGTAACAAGCACTAAACTGATTTCTATTGAATGAATTTAGTGTAAATCCTATTCACACATTCTTATGCTCCCGAGCTTATGAGGAGTATTGAGTGTTGTTGGGAACATTCACATAAAGTTTAATGCAATCTTTCAACCTAATTCTAAGAGCGTGTTTAGATTAGATTGGTATGGTTAGGATTAATCAAAGAGCTTATTTTGGTTAATCAATGTGGTGAATGGGAGGTGCTAGAGCTTGTTAGCATTTCTAAGTACCAATTTAGATAGAATTGAACAAATATCATTTCATCCTTGGAATCACATTGCTAATTTGTCTTGCATGGAGTTGGAGTCCTTACAAATCTTGAATCTACTTCGTTTAATCAATCATTTACTTTTTACTTTATTCTATTGTTTAAATCATTGCTTATAAATTCCCCCCCCCCCCCAATTCTGTGACCATTTTTGTACCTTACGCAAAAAGGTATAAGCACTTGTCCCGTGTCTCTGTGGATCGACCCTGCTTACCTTGTATTACATTTTTAGTGCAAAGTAACAGTGTTTTGGAGTCATTTTGTACCCCTTTATTTGTTGGGTTTGATACGCCTAACAATATATGGTTTCAAGTATGAAGGCGGTGGAAGTAGAAATCGACAGTAAAATCGTCGGCATAAAAATAGAGTCGGTGGATGATAGAATGGGAGTCGGTGGGTTTTTGGAAAAACTGAGAATCGATGGATGATAAAATTAATGAGAAAGCGGTGGGAAACGATGTGTATCTGGAAGGAGCAGATGAAAGAAGACAACCAACAAGATAACACGTTACAACGGTGGTAAAAGATAAGACAACACGTAGAACCTATGAATAGTATCGTCACCGACCGACGATCATTGGAAGAAGAGGCCACCGACCCAAGATAATCGGAAGAAAGGGATGAAAGGTCAACGGGAAAAGGCACGATTAAAAAAAATCTGACCAATCAGATATAAGAACTATTCCTACGGGAACATTCTTTATATATATATATAATATATATATATATATATATATATATATATATATATATATATATATATATATATATATATATATATATATATATAGAGAGAGAGAGAGAGAGAGAGAGAGAGAGAGAGAGAGAGAGAGAGAGAGAGAGAGAGAGAGAGAGAGAGAGAGAGAGAGAGAGAGAGAGAGAATTCATAGTTTTCCGAGAACCCGAGAACTAAAGATGGAACGTTGGATCAATTATTCGTTGGCTTAGATGATCAGTGGCGTACTTTGTAAATATAACTAAAATAAGTGGTATATTAGGTTTTATTAAGAATAATCAGGGGGTAATATCGGTATAAAAATTGATCCTAAACAACATCAAAACAACGTCTGATAGTTTCTTTTTCCCCAAAATTCAGACTTTTTCTCTCCAATTCTGTCCCTATTTCTCTCACACCATCATCGTCGATCATTCCTTCAAATCCATCACCATCGTGCGGAATACATGGTCGCCTCTGTTGTCGTCCCGCCGTCGATTCATCGCCTTCATCATTTTCTCCCTCCCGTCTCCGTCAATCGCCCTGATTACCTAAACATTTAGCCAAACGAAAGGTGATTAATTTGTTCAACAACAATGTCTCTTCAGATGTCACAATGTATTCCTTATCTCTTTCATCTACTTTCACAAGATGATTCGTGTCAGGATCCGATGAGAACGACGTTGTTCTCGTCGGAGAAGGTCTCGCCGGATACATCGTCGCGATTAAGGCTGCTCGTTTAGGGCTTAAAATTACATGTAATGAGAAGCGTGGTGCTTTTGGTGGTACTTGCATCAATGTTGGTTGTATTCATTCTAAGGTATTTCTTTTATTCTTTTCATCGATATGTTTTTTTCTACTATTAATTTCATGTATCTGTGTTTTGTCTCTATGAATGATTGTATCTACTTTCGTCTATATGTTTCTATGTGATGTGTTCTGATGTCTAGGTTTTTGCATTTCTTAAGTGATTAATTTATGTGTCTTTGATGGTATGTCTGTCTTGAAGTCAAACCTGAAATTGAACTTACAAATCCCTAATTCATATGAATTTGTAGCCTACACTATTTTGTTATTACTTCTAAAATATAATTCATTTAACCGTACTAAATTAGGGTGACAAGAATTATTGTTTTTGATTTGGATTTGAGGTCTTTCTCTGTTATAAGAAGTTTTTGTATGTTCAACCGATGTATTTCTTATACTAAGCTTGTGTATTAGAGATTTGTGTATTTTATTGTTGAAAATAATTTTACGTGGAGATCTTAAACTCGTCATAATCTAATAGTTTCATTGATTATTTATTTGATTTATTTAATTTATTTTGTTTGTGCTAAAGGTGGTGTTTATGGTTGAAAAGGCTTCAAAGAATCACATACGTTAGAAGTTCATTCTTTTATATTATTAAATTTGTTAATATTTTCATTTTCTAACACATGAACTTATTATTATTAACAGGAAAAGTAAGACCTTGTCACCACAAAACCAAGATAAACATGTTAAAATATTAAAGATATGTATAAAATAAATCAATTTTTGTAACAAGTGTGTGTATATTTTTTATAATAGTTGGGAAAAATATGTTATACTCAGAACTGTGATTCATAACAAAAAAATGGAATGAGTTATTACATTCCATGATCATGTTTGTTTGTTTGCTATGTCGAAACGGAAAGAATTTTATTATAAACTTTATATATTATGAAAAAAATTATATTTGTCATTCCAATGGAATTAGTAATTCCAGTCCTACATGATTCCATCATACCAATTACAATCCTCCCCTCTTGTTGTTGATGGTCGGCTGAGCTTCAACATCTAAATGTTGAAGAATCAACACTTGATAAGTGTATAAGGTAAACACAACAATGCCTCAACTCTATGGAATTTGATTATAATACTCGAAAGTGTGTATCTTCATGTTGTTTTTTTATGTGGTATATGTTAGGTGCATTTCATGTACCCATTTTGTAGCTTTATTTCATAAAAGTACATTGCATATAGGCTTAAACTCATGCATTTTGCATGTTTTTCGGGATTTTTCATGAGGCAATTTCATTCACATACTTTTGTGATATTTTAGGGACTTTTGGAGGTAGGATATTGTTGGAGGTGGTAAATAAAAGTTGCGGACAAAATTTCCGGACTTGCGGAGCACCAAGGAGCAAGATATCAAAGAAATAAAGATTTTGGCTTTACAGAGATTTACACGGCCGTGTAAATGCAAGCCTTGCGTTTACACGGCCCGTGTAAACGTAGATTTCTGCGCAGTATATTTTTGCGTTTACGCGGGCCGTGTAAATGACAGTGTTAATTTACGCGGGCCGTGTAAACGTAAATGCGGGGTTTAAAGCAGTTTTCACCATTTTTAAAGGGGGGAAACCAATTTTTTTAAGAGGGGGGTCGACTTTTGGAGCAGAGAAAGCGATTTTCTTGAGGATTTTGAAGTTGATTAACACTTGGGAACATTTGATTTTATTTTGTAAGAACTTTAATTTCATTTTCTAGATTTGTGATCTTGTTCTAGCCATGATTGGCTAGAACCCTAGCTTCTCCAACTTCATGCCTTGACTTCTTAGTTGTGATTTCAATCATATGACTTGATGTTTGCTTTCAATTTTCTATCTAGTGAATTTGATTTTGTCCCAATCGAATGTTTGATTCTAATTGTGATTCTTATTGGCCATTTGAATTAGGGTTAGATCATTCAAGTTATCTAATTGCAAAATCCGTAATTGTTTTGTAAATTGGACTAGGTAACAAGCACTAATTTGATTTCTATTGAATGAATTTAGTGTAAATCTTTTCACACACTTTTACACTCCCGAGCTTGTGAGGAGTATTGAGTGTTGTTGGAACATTCACATGAAAGTTTAAAGCAACCTTTCAATCTAATTCTAAGAGCTTGTTTAGATTAGGTTAGTAAGGTTAGGATTAATCAAAGAGCTTGTTTTGGTTAATTATTGTGGTGAATGGGAAGTGTTAGAGCTTGTTAACACTTTCAAGTACCAACTTAGATAGAATTAAACAAATATCTTGTCATCCATGGAATCACATTGCTAATTTGTCTTGCATAGAGTTGGAGTACTTACAAATCTTGAACTTATTTCACTTAATCAGTCATTTACTTATTGCTTTATTCTATAGTTTAAATCATTGCTTATAAATTCCCCCATTCTGTGACCATTTTGTACCTTATGCAAAAAGGTATAAACACTTGTCCCGTGTCTCTGTGGATCGACCCTACTTACCTTGTACTACGTTTTTAGTGCATAGTAGTAGTGTTTAAGGAGTCATTTGTATCCTTTATTTGTTGGGTTTGACACCCCTAACAGTATATTCACATGTGAATATTCAATGTGAAAATTCACATGTGAATATTACATGAATTAGATGTAATTCACATATAAATCGCAAGTGAATCACATATGTGTGATCCACATATGAATTATATGTGATCCACATGTAAATCACATGTAATTCACATATGATTCACTTAAGATTCACATGTAAATCACAAGTGAATCACATATTAATTACATGGGATTCACATGTAAATAACATGTAATTCACATATGAATTACATGTGATTCATATGTAAATGGCATGTAATTCACATGTAAATCACAAGTGAATCACCTATGAATTACATGTGATTCACAAGTGAATCACATGAATTATATGTGATTCACATGAATTATATGTGATTCACATATTAATCACATTTAATTCACATGTAAATCACAAGTGAATCACATATCAATTACATGTGATTCACATGTAAATAACAAGTGAATAACATATGAATTACATGTGATTCACATGTAAATCACATATGAATTACGTCTATATGCACACATGCATTTTGTGTGAGTGTTCTTGGTTAGTTATTTTTTAAAATTTTCTTGTGAATTTCACATTTGAATCTTAAAAGATACAATCACATTTGAATATCACATTATATAATCACATGTGAATCTTACATGATATATACGTATGCATTTTTGTGAGTGTTCTTGCATTAATCAATTTTTTCTAATTTTTTTTTGTAGATTTTGAAGAATTTATGGAAAATATTGAAGAGGTGAAAAGTGATAAATTGAAGAAAATATGGAAATCTTGATATGAAGAAATGATAACACTGTGTATCTTTGTAGCATTTTTTATTTTTTAATTTTTTTTTGTATTGAATAAAATACTTATACTATTATGCTTATAGATTGATTAATAAAAATGAGATTTTTTAGCATTTACTTACGAATATTATAGTATAAGAAATATGCATATATGCATTTGAATATTCTTGGTTTCTTTTTTTTTTTTTTAATTTTACTGATTTTTAAAAATGTACTTTTTAAAAAAACGCAGTTTTTTTTTAAAAAAATTGTAATTTTTTTTTGAAAAAATTACAGTTTTTATTTTTAATTTTTTACAAAATGCAGTTTTTTTAAACAATTGCAGTTTTTTTGAAAAAAAAAATATAGTTTTTTTTAGAATAAATTGCAGTTTTTTTGAAAAAATTGTAGTTTTTTTTTAAAAAAATTGCTGTTTTTTGAAAAAAAAAATACAGTTTTTTTTGAAAAAAATGATGTTTTTTTAAATTCCGTTTTTTTTTAAAAACGAATTGCAGTTTTTAAAAAAACTATTTTTTTCATTTTTTTTGTTAAAAATTCATGTTTTGGAAAAAAAATAGAAAAATCTCCATTTTTTATAAAAAATCGAAAATAATTTTTTTTTTTTAAAATCCGACTTTTGATTTATTATGTTAAATTTTAAAACTTTTTGTTAATATTTCCAATAAAAAAAATTTAAACATTAAATGAAATCGGTAAGATGACAATCATGCCCTTAATGAGTTAAGTTTGATCTAACGCTCCACCTTTAGTTCTCAAGTTCTCGGGAAACTATGAGTTCTCAACGGATCTCACCCCTATATATATTATATATATATATATATTATATATATATATATATCTATATATATATATATATATATATATATATATATATATATATATATATATATATATATATATATATATATGAGTAAGATCAAATGAGAACACCTAAAAGGTTGAGAACGCGAGAACACTTCTGAACTATTTTAAAAACTAAATCTAAGGCTATTATCGAATGGGCCATTTATGTAAATTCTTAAAATTACAGGAATTAAAGTGTAACTTTAAAATGTCAAGGGTAAAATGGTAATTGATTGTTTACCTATGTTTAGCAATTCCTACAATCTCTCTCTCTCTCTCTCTCTCTCTCTCTCTCTCTCTCTTCTCTCGTATCTCTCCCTCTATATCGCTGCTTCTGGATTTTTCACAACCCTAGGGCCTCCTCTCATTCCAGCTGCCGCTGGGCGTGAAGAAGCAGCGAAGTTTTGCTCATCTCTTCCGGCTGTGAGGTGTGAGTCGTCGGTCTTGGTGGGTGCTTTGCTCCAGTCGATAGAAGATGAGCGGATGGGCTGTTCGGTGGTCACGCAACCACGAGGAGGGGAGGCGATCAATCGTTGGGTGGGAGAAGCACCTCCGGTGCTTCACTGTTTCGCAGAGGAGAAAATGAAAACAGCAATGGCGGCTGGATGGCGCTTCTTCTGCCTCAACTGGAATGAGGGAAGGGGTCTCGATGGGGCAGTTGCTTCGATCGGTAATGATCCTTTTCTCTTTTCTTTTTATTTTGACTGTAAATCAATGAAGTTTAATAAATAGGTTTAGATGGGTGTTTGGGTTTGGTTGTTTGACAGAAATTGATAGAGATGAAAAGAAGAACAACGAAAATTCCTTTTTCTTTGTTTGTTTTGATAGAAACTGATGAAGGTATGGATATTTGGGTGTTGATGTTTTACAGTGAATCGGTGGGTTTTTGTTTCTTGATCATCTATATCTCACAAAAAGATTTTATAATTATACATATTGATTTTACCGTGGAGTGTTGATCTTGTTTGAGTGTTAATCTTTGCTTGAGTGTTCAGGAGGTAGAATGGTTGCAATGGGAGGACCAACTGGAAAAATTTCTGAAGAACAGAGGCAAAGAAAGAAACACAATCCTAATTTTCGAATTTTTTGGTAATAATTTCTTGAAGGGGGTGCGTGAATGGTTGTATTTATTTATGAATAGCATGTGTATTCATTTATGAATAACATTGTAGTTATGTGTGAATGGTTGGAATAACACGTGTATTCATTTATGATAGAATGTGTATTAATTTATAAATAACAGTGTATTCATTTGTGAATTGCAATGTATTCGTGTGTGAATGATTGTATTTATTTATGAATAGTAGTGTATTCATGTGAATGGGTGTATTTATTTATGATTAGAGGTATTCATTTTATGAAAATGATAATTTTTACACTATTTTTTATTTTCAATTTATGAAAAAAATGCATTGAATTATTTGTAATTTGATGTGTTTTCACTTATGATTGGAAGTGTAGTGATTTGGGATTGGATTTCTATTCATTTTTTTTTGAAAAACAAAAACGTGAAATAGTAGAAAATAATATTTTTTTTAAGATTTTCTTTTCAGATTTAAAATAAAAGGAAATATTAATTTTTTTAGGTAATTTTTTTGAAACGGTCATAGATAATTTTTGGGAAAAATCATAAAAAAAAAATATTTATATATATTTCATTAACTAAAAGGAAATATTAATTTTGTTAGGTAATTAAAATCATTATCCCTAGATTTTAGGAGATCATTAATTAATATTTATATAAAGTTACTAATATACCCTTATAAAATGATTGGTCCAGAACTGTTCTCGCGTTCTCAACCTTTTAGGTGTTCTTATTTGATCCTCTCCCTATATATATATATATATATATATATATATTATATAATATATATATATATATATATATATATACACACACACCTTAATAAACATTTAGCCTCAAATGCTGAATTTTAAGAGGTACACCCCTAACAGCATCATATATAACAAGTTTATGCATTACGAAAATCTTATAACGTCAAAATTATGTGCAAAATGAATCAGTCAAAGCTATCTGCAAAGAATCGGTCAAAGCTAAACCTATATTCCTTATTTTCAACATCAATTGAATCACTCAATAAGAAATTCACTTTATAAATCATCTCCTCTGTTGAAGACGTTCTCTTTATCGTCTCTCCTCTCATTAGGGATTCAGAACCCTAAACGCATCTCTCAACCCACCACCACCACTCTTCTCGATGGTGTTGATCTGTGTATTTAGATCTAGCTCTGCTCACCAACATCATGGATTTTTTTTTCTGATTTAGATTTTAACTTGGGTTGCAGGTATAGATGCGGCAAAATTTTCATGGGAAAGCATAGTTAGGGCAGTGGTCTTCTTTGCCTCAGGTCATCATATTCTTTTTTGAGTTTCATAACTCTTCCCTCAATTTGGGTTAATCTTGGATATATATCATCACTACATCACCAACGCATCTTCACCACCGTCGCCCGATGCTTCCAACCCACGATTTCTAATGAAGAGGCAGATGTATGTCTACAAAAAACGATTTTAGTGTTTTTGGTTTTAAAAAGGATAAATGATTTAGTTGGCATAGTGAATCAAA